TTGCTCCTCCCTAAAACTCCAGTACATAGTTGTAAATCCTTCTTTTATGTGAGCCGCTGTCATAGCATGGCTACTAACAGCTGAATTGTGTGATTCTGGCCCAGGAACTGAACCCGGGCCACTAAAGTAGATTACACAGAACTTTAACTGCCAGGACATCAGGGCTGGCTCAGCACAGTTTTGATTTAGTTGTTTCAAAGTAGGGTCTCATTTATTATGTCTAATTCTAGTGGGCAAAATTTTTAAAACAATTATAAAAATATAAGATTAAAAATTAAAACAAGATCAATACAAAAAATCTATATATTGACCTTAGTACACATGACCTACATTTATCTCTGATTATTTCACAGATACATAAGCATAATGTGAGCAATATTTTATAGACAATAAATCTTGAAGGAATTAGGTTTCATTTACAATAATATTACAGCAAATATACAGCAAAAGGTTTTCAAACTGAGATGAAGAAATAAGCAATAGTGTTATGTTAATTATATTGCAGATTTTACTTGGAAAAATGATTCTGAAGATAACATTTAAAATAGCATACAGATAGTTTATTCTGAAAAATTATATGCACCTCTATCCAAAACTTTTGATGATTTGCATTAATCTTGGTATTATTACCAAGACCATATTTGGTGTAAACAAATCCAATTTTATTTATTTATTCAATTTTTCACTTGAAACTTTTTTTCCCACAATTGATGTACCTCGGTCACTGTTGAGTGTACTGGTGACACATACTTAAGTGAGACCAACACTTCTCTGATGCAGCTTACATTCTAAGAGAATAATGACAAACTTTCCACACAACTGTAATCAGTGTTACTAATTTTAGGGTTTATGTTTGAATGTTGTTTTATCAGAAATCAACTTGATAATTATTTGAAAGATATCATAATAAAAGATATATCAATTACTGGAAAAAACAGAGAAATAATGACAATTAATTTTCCCTTAGTAATAGAAACATCATATTGAGCAGATGAAATTAAGAGAATAATAAAGTGGGTGCATTGTTTATGTCCAACACAGTACATAATTCTATATTGATTTTTATGATAGAATAAATTTATGCAACTCATAAGAAAGAGAGTTCTGTGAGATTAATTTTACAGCTTCCAATAATACATCTAGGTCTTAAATCTAGAGCCAAAAAAGGCAACAACTTGGATATCTTGGTGATATTCTCAAAGCATGAGAGAAAGTGATATTTAGAATAAAATAAACCTGTGAAGGCAGGGGTAATTCTATTTTTATCTAGTTAGTTCTAGAAGAAGCTAAATAGATTCTTCTAATGCCTGTTCACCCTAATATTTACTCAAACAGATATTAGGACCACCATGGATGCAGTCTCAGATTATCATATAGTGTTTAAGAGAATGTTCTCTGATGTCATAGCCTTGGGTGCCAGATAGGCAGAATTCTAAGGATAATCCTCAATGGCCCTTCCCCTTGTACAATCTTCTCCCCTTCAAGCATGGATGGAATTTGTAAATATGACTAGAACTTACCCCATGATTATGTTATATGACCTGGCAAAAGTAATTCTGCAGATGTAAGAAAAGTTGTTAATCAGTTAATCCTAGAATAGTGAAATTATTTGGGTGGGCCTAATTAAATAATAAAGGCCTTTAAAAGCAGAGAGATTCCCCTGGCTGGTGGCAGAAAGGAAATCAGAGAGACTGTAGGTGTGAGATGGACGCACTACTGCTGACTCTGAAAGCGGAGAGAGCCCTGTGAGAAGGAATACAGGCAGCCTCTAGGAGGGGGGGATGGCCCCCAGTTGACAACTGTCCAAAAACAAAAAGGGTATTGCAGATTTTCAGCCACAAAGAACTGGATTCTGCTAACAACCTAGATGAGCTTGGAAGCAGATTCTTCACCAGAGCCTTTAGGCAAGTGCCCAGCTCTGCCAACACTTTGATTTCAGCCTCTGAGACCCTGAGAGAACTCAGTCTAGCCAATCCAATCTTGCCTTTCTGTAAGACGGTAAACAGACATTCCTATAATCCCTTACATTTGCAGTAAGTAGTTATGTAGCAATATAAACCTGATACGGATGTGAATTCAGCTCCTGCCACTTTCTGAGATGTGCAAATAGGGGAATTTGCAGCCACTTAGTAAATCCTAGCTAATATATTTTGGGGAATGCAGAAAAGGGAATAATATGGTTAAAATGCACAGCATGATGTCTTGAACATAACACTTAATAAATTAAATGAGCTAAGAAGAAAAACACAGACTCTCTACTTTGGATGAATCGTTTCTTATACTCAAGAAAAAAATTTTAAACTAATGAATCTTTAAAATTGTTCTGATGCTAAACATTTCCTCTTCCATTGGTAAACTAATATAACATACATTGAATTGCTTTTATTAAATCAATAGTTTTTAGTGCTAATCACAACTGCATCTAAATCTCAGAAGAGCCCCTTATTATGTGGATAGTGCACACAATAATCATACCAACAAATAATACCAACATGAAAAAGCAACGGGAAGGAACACATCAAGGCATGTGCCAGCATTGAGAACTTCATGTATATTAATTCATTCAATTTTTACAATCCATTTATTTGTGCTTTATGTGTGTTAATCCCTAACAGCCTTATGTAGTGTTAAAAGATATACTGAGAAATTCTAGAAATTTTCAGAGTTTACTTAAGCATTTATTAATTCGAATCGAGCAGCGCCAAGCCAGAAGTGGTTAGAAGCCCTCCACCAACAGGAGCTGGGGAGAGACTCCTACAGAGAAAAGGCAGAATAAGCAAGGAAATTCCTGACTGGCTGCATTTGAAAGCCTAGTTGACTGTTTGTAATTGGTGGTCCTTAGGTTTCCAGTTTCCTAACCGTGAGGCATTGACAGGTTTAGATTTCAGTTTGCTTGTGTCACCCTTCATGGGATTAGAGCACCTCAGTCTAATGGCCCCCTTGTTTACTGAAGTTAACATAGCAAGTACTCTTAGGAATATTTTAAAGTCAAGAAACTGAAGAGCAGAGAGATTTAATAACTTGTACAGGACTGCACAGAGGTGAGTTTTGAACTCATGTAATTCAGGTTTAGAGACCATGTTTACAAGCAGCGTGCTATACTGATGTCCCTGTTGGTTAACCTTTCTTAGTCTCCATCGCCTCATCTTACTTTGGAGAAACTAACAACTTGCTGACACTTTGTGAGGATCAGCAATATTTATGTGATATTGTGATTTATAATAAGAAATATATATCTGCTCTTCCTCCTTTTCCTGGCACCGAGCTCCTAAAACCCTTGGAATTTCCTGAGAAGGGTGATAAAGGTGTCTTTTGTTAATCTAACAAGCCCCTTTCAACTACACCTGAGTTTATGTTAATGTGGTGACTTCAGGAAAGCCCCAAAGGATGAGGCTGGTTGCTAGGGACACCAACCATATGCTTAGAGGGTTGGAACTTTTAGCTCCACACTTCCAACCTCCCTAGAGGGAAGACGGCCTGGAAGATAAATCAGTCACCAATGGCCGATGATTTAATCAATCAGGCCTCCCTAATGAAGCTTCCATTAGGTGCTGGAGATGCTGGGAGAGTGGTACGCTCAGAGAGGGCGTGGAAGCTCAGCACCCCTTCCCACATACTGTGCCCTATGCATGCATCTCTTCAATATGACTGTTCCTGAGTTTCATTCTTTTATAACAAACTGGTAATCTAGTAAGTAAAACATTTTCCTGAGTTCTGTGAGCTGCTCTAGCAAAGTAGGGGGTTGTGGGAACCTCTGGTTTATACCCTGTCTGTCAGAAGCACAGGTGACAACCTGAACTTGTTATTGGCATCTGAGGTTGGGGGAGCAGTCTTGAGAGACTAAGCTTTTAACCTATGGGATCTGATTCTATCTCCAGGTAGATAATATCAGAGTTGAGTTGAATTGTAGGACACCCAGCTGGTGTTGCAGAATTGCTTGGTATGAGAAAACATCCAGGTATTTGGTAACCAGAGCACAGAAGTTCTGTGTTGCAGTAGAGTAGAGGAGAAACCCAGAAATACATTTTCCCCTAACACTATGTTTAATGCTTGCCATAGTGCCCAGCAAAAAGTTGGTACCTATAAATCATTAAAGAATACATTTTAAGATATGAAGTTGATGATGTGACAATTATTATAAAACCAGCGCTAATATACTAGTAGACACTTAAAATATATATATATATTAAATAAGAAAATGTATACACATACATTCTTGTGTCAAAACTGCCATGGTCTGTCCGTTAAAATTAATATTTAAATACAGGAACACCCAAAACACAGCCATAATAAAATAGTTACACCCCTATCTTAGAGACCTAGTTCGACTCTGTTTTCACAACTGAACTCAGAAAAGATGTATTGCATGAGCCATTTTTTCTAGATTAACTTTAAGACATTATACAGGGGGAAATGCTAGTAAGACAGATATTTTCAAGGGAAAATATACTTTTAGCCAACACAGACATTGGTGGTTTGTAAATGTAGTCCCTAATTCCACCTTGGGAGAGATCCCCCTGAAATGTTTGGTGTAACAGTATCATGTATATTAGCAAACGTGGTACAGCACAGCAGCTCAACTTGATAAATTCCTGATCCTACCTAAAATCTAATTTTCTGTTACAGCATATGATAGTAACAGGTTTTGTAATTAACCTAGCTTTTTTATTATTATATCTCGAGACAGAACATTTGTAGTTTTAATATTTTTGCTATATTTTCTTATAGTCGGTGTTATTAACACAAAAATTATTTTTAGAGAAAATGGTCAATATGTCATTTATTTGATATTTTTCCCTTATAAAGGATTATGCTTTCCAGCTTTGTGGTTATGGACTCAGCATGTTTCATAAATGAATTTTGGTGTACATTTATGACAGGTCCTGAAGTTCTTCCAAAGCACTTTTTCCTTTCTAAATACAGTTTGGAAGTCTCTTCATTAATGTTTTCAGTTGCTAAGCAACACCCCCTCTTTGCTTGTTGCCATGGTTCCCCTTGAATGAGGGAGGACACAAAGCCATCTGTTTAAACCAACACCCCTCCTTTCTCTAAAGTATGACCTGTTCTATTCATCCAGAGGCAAGATGGAGTAGGTTATCTATGACCTAGGGTCCAGGTAGTTAGGAGGGTAAAACTTCGATAAGGTAATTTTTTTTCTTTTTTTGTTTGAAAAGTAATCACTTCTTCACAAAACATAAAATCACTATGCTGCCAAAATGCTAGATTCACAATGGATTGAAAGTACACTCTGAAATGGTAAAGAAGAAAGAAACAGTAAAACAAAACCAAACAGAATAGCTTCAGGTATTTAAAATACTGGTTTTATTTTCTTTACAGTGGTTTTTACTGTCTATAGTGTACCTCCTAAAATAACATGGTAAGTGAATGTTTGAATATGTAACCAGAACAGCCAACTTGCTTAATCCCGTGGAATCTTTGGAATAGAAATGAACAAATTGGTGCTAGGATTATCCTGAATAAAAATTTGGAACTTGTCAAAGCAAAACTAATACTCTTTCCTGGACTCCTAAGTAGGTGGTTTCAGATTGTGGTGGGGATATGGCTTCACTGAGGTTGAAAGCTTCACCAAATACCCTTTATAGACACATAAACACTTATAAAGAGACTGCTATTCTCACTATTCTCTCTCTTTCTTTTTTTGCGGGGGGAGGGTGGGGAGATTATCCCTGAGCTAGCATCTGTGCCAATCTTCCTCTATTTTGCATGTAGGACGCTGCCACAGCATGGCTTGATGTGAGGTGCGTAGGTCCGCACCCATGATCCGAACCCAAAAACCCAAGGCTGCTGAAGCAGAGCACACAAACTTAACCACGACACCACCAGGCTGCAGGAGAATGCTATTCTCAATAACTGATTCAGAGTCTGATCAACTATATGGAGAAAGTAAACTTTCACTTATTTAGCATGTTACTAGTTTCAGACTTTACCAGAGTATTTTTCAGCACAGTAAATGTGAACAATGCCCTTCATTCATAATATTCCTTCTGTGATGGAATCGCCATAATTATAATACCTGTGTTTTTCAGCTTTGTGCTAATGTCTATCATTTCAAAATCTCATTTTGTTTTTAAACAGATGATTAAAGTTGTGTGTTCCACTGATTCACCTTTGCATATCTCTTTTCTGACCACCTACCAAAATGTATCAGAAACTCCACTGACTTGCTTTTTGGGCTACACCTGAAAATGCCTTTCTTCCCTCTAAAAATAATGTAATGTTCAGAACCAAGCACTTTCTGGTTACTAATATCTAACTAGATTATATGTACATATTTAGGTGTTTGCAAGAGTAATAATATCTACTTTTACTTGAGCATCAGTTAGAATACATGCCAGTTACGGTGCTGCCTTATTAATCCTGAAATTTATAAAAAAATCAGTATGATAACGTTTTGGTTTTACAACACATAAGTGTCTTTAACTCAGTATGCATTTATCAAGGGAAGAAAAAGGCATATATTTCACCTGAAGTTAGATAACAACCAAATCTGTATCATCATCCTCTTAACCCCTTAGGACTTTCCTCAGATTTTTTGTAATGCTTTCATGTACCAATTCCCACAATTAATTTTCCTTATGCCCTTGTCTGTAAGATAAAATGCAATATACTGTAAAATAATTTTAATTACACATACTGCCTTATTATTTTGATCAATTTTCAATGTTTTAGTGAATATTTTAAATTAATATGCTGGCCCTTTGAATTACATACTGTTTATATCATTCTTTATAGAACCCAAAATTGCCAATATCTTGAAAAATAATTTTTGTCTGAACTCAGATATTCTATTTTAATATGGGCTTTCTGCTTATAGAGGACAATGAACAATATATACCTTTTCAGATTGAGAAATTGTGTTTCACTTGTTGTTCTGCCCTGTTTTTTGTGAATTTATGGTGGTTTGTTAACTTTTTGTGTGTAGTTAAATGTTTATTTAAGCCTTTGCAAATTCAATATAGAGTTTTTTGAGAAATCATAAATGAGAAAACATATTTTGGTTTATTAATAACTTGAGATTTTATATCCAAAAAGAATTTGTGGCTAAATATGGTATTCCCTTCATCTCTCATGTAAAAACATCTTAATGAAAAATATAACACATCACATTTCTTCAAATTTTGATATGAAATGTTTTCACATATGTATATACCTATGAAACCATGACCAAAATCAGAATAACAAACCAATCTACTAGCTCCCAAAAGTTTCCTCAAGCCCCTTTGAATTCCTCTCCCCGTCTCTCTGCTTCAAACTGTCTTTCTCCCCAGCTAACTGCTGATCTCTTTTCTACCATTATAGATCAGTTTGTATTTCCTATAATGTTTTATAAATGGAGTCACATAGAATGTACTCTTTCTATTTGGCTTCTTTACCTCAGCATAATTATCTTGAGATTCAGCCATGTTTTCATGGACATATTTCATTCATTTGTATTGCTGAACAGCATGGTATTCTATACTATAGTTTATTCATTTACCTGTGATGAACATTTGAGTTATTTTAAGCTATGTGCTGTTACAAGTAAAGATGCTATGAACATTTGTTTATAACTCTTTTATGCATATATGCTTTCATTTTCCTTGGATAAGTACCTGGAAGTAGGATGGTGATATTATATGGTATGTGCATGCTTAGCTTCTTAAGAACATGCCAAACCCTTTCCAAAGGGATTGTACCATTTTTCATTTCCATTCCAGCCAGAATTATATGAGAGTTTCAATTCTTACACATCCTCACCAACATTGGAATTGTTGTTTTAGTTTTAACCATTCCAACAAGCGTGGAGCGGATTTCATTTTAGTTTTCATCTTTATGTTCTTAATGACTAATGATGTGGAGCACATTTTGTGTGCTCATTTGCTATCTATATATTTTCTTTGGTAATTATGTCTAATAGGAATATTTTGTCCATTTTTATTGGTGGGTTATAGCTCATTGTTCAGTTTTGAGAGTTCCTTATATAGTTTGGATACAAATCCTTTATTGTATTTGATTTGTAAACATTTTCCTCAAGTCTGTGCCTTCATTTTTTTAATTTTGTTTTTAATTTTGATGAAATCTAGTCATAGAATTGGTCTTTTGGAGCCATGTTTTTGGTGTCATGTCTAAGAATCATTGCTTAACCAAAAGTGAAAACGTTTTCTCCAAGGTTATCTTCTAGAAGTTTTACAGTTTTAGATTTTACGTTTGGGTCTATGACACATTTGAGTTAAATTTTATCTATATAGTGTTAGGCTAAGTATGGAGCAAAGTTAATTTTTTTGCATATAGATATCTGGAAGTTCTAGCTCTGTTTGATGAAAAGACTTTCTATCCCTTCTCCACTGAATTGGTTTTATGTGTTTGTCAAAATCAGTTCTCCAGGCATTGTCTGCTTCTGAAATCTTTATTCTGTTTATTGATCAATTTTGATATGTTTACTCCAGTAATAGTCTTAGATAGCTCTGTTTTGTAAAGTCTTAAGGTGAGATAGTGTTAGTTTGTCTTTTACAAAGTTGTTCAAAGTTCTATGTCCTTTGTATTTTCATGTGAATTTTACAGTTAGCGTGTTGATTTCCACCAAGAAATCTACTGGGATTTTGACTGGTGGTATTGAATCTATAGATCAATTATGGGAGAATTGACATCTAAACACCCTCAGTGTTCCGATTCATTAACATAGTACACAGCTCCATTTTTTCAGGTCTTAAGTTTCCTCAGCAATGTTTTGTCATTTTCAGTGAAAGACTGTCAGAGAAATCTGTCACATTTTTGTCAGATATGTTTCTAAGAATTTTGTTTCATGTGTTTTAATGTTATTATAAAGAGTATTATTTTTAAACTTCACTCTTGCAAATGTTTGTTTCTAATATATAGAAACACAATTGATCTGAATATTTGATCTTGTTTTCTGCAACCTTACTAAACTCACGTATTAGTTCTAGTAAATTTTTGTCAATTCTATCAGATTTCTACATAGACAATTATGTCCTGTATAAATCAAAACAATTTTTCTCCTTCCTTTCCAATCTGGTCTTTATTCCTTCCTTTTTCTTAACAATAACTATAACGCCCAGCACAATGTTAATAGGGGTGCTAAGAGCAGACATTTTTGTCTTATTCCTGATCTTAGGGGAAAGGATTAAAACTTTCACCATTAAATATTAGCTAAGTGTAGATTTTTTTAAATATCCATTATTGGATTACGGAAGTTTTCTTCTATTCCTACTTTGCTTAGAGTATTTATCAGAAATACATGTTTAATTTTGTCAGATATTTTTCTGCATCTATGAAGATAGTCATCTTTTTCCTTTAAAACAAAATTTTAATACGATGAAATATATTGATTGAGTTTAAAATGTTATGCGGAACTTGTGTTTATGACATAAGCTGTACTTGGCCATGACATATTCATTACCATTTTTGTGTGTTGCTGGATTTGACAACCTGAACTTTGGTTTAGAATTTTTGCAAATATGTTTGTGAGGGATATTTCTTTTCTTGTAATGCCCTCATAAGGTTTTGGTATAAAGGTAAGCCTGTGCTCATAGAATAAGTTAGGAGATATACTCTCATCAAGTTTCTGGAAGATTTTTTTGGAATCGTTATTTCTTCCCTTAAATGTTTGATAGAGTTTACTGTGAAGCCATTTGGATCAGGAGTTATTTTTGAAACTCAGTTTTTACCTGCAAATTCAATTTATTTCATAAACATAGGGCATTCATTTTATCTATTATTTGTTCTTGAGTGAATTTTGTGTATATCTTTCAAAGAATCTGTCTTTGCAACCTGTTTTCACATTTAATAGCACAATGTTGTTCATAATATTCCCTTATTAACCATTTAGTACCTGTGGAATCTTTAGTGACTCGACAGGCATTCCTCTTATTCTTCTCTCATTCCTGAAATAGGCAATGTGTGTATTCCTTCTTTTTTTATTTATAAGTTTGCCTAGAGGTTGATCAATATTATCGATCTTCTAAAAGAACTAGCATTTCTTTCTTTCTTTTCTCTATCATTTTTCTGTTTTCTATTTCATGAATTTCTGCTTTTAGCTTTATTATTACTTTTTTCTGTTTTCTTTGGGCTTAATTTATCTTTCTTTTTCCAGTTTCTTAAAGTGGGAGCTGACATCATTAATTTG